CTGAAGGCCGGGCGACAGCAAAGCGGTCTATTACCATCCACCCATTGTTCTATGCCACCTACACCTATGCGTCGTCCACTCGAGGTAGGTCTTTCTGTGGCACTCGAATCTTTACCGGTTATGCTGCACATTTGATCAACGTACGTTTTAGAGTGTGTTCTGAGCCGAGAACACGTTTCAAGAAAGATTTTGCGAAATCGAATTCTCTGCTGGTATCAAAATATGATTTGTTTAGCCTCTCGATCATCACAGAAGATCGATCTTTATCAAGGACGGTGAAATTGACCGGCTTCTTGTATCGTTTTATCGATTTGGAGAACGTAGATTTTAATTTACTTTATGCTTTCGATATCCCGGCAGTAGATGTCCACTTTCCTTACACCGATTGCTGCCCTGAAATGATACGTCTACCAAATGCTTGTTTCTTCTCTTGTGAATGGCTGACGGTTGATTCGCGTGAGTGTAGTTTACGAATGTGCATGGAGGTCAACTAGTTACCGTTCAAGCAAAGTGCAAATTGTGAGCACAGTTCTAGGTGGTTAGATAGATGTGTTCGTAAATTGTTCGAGTGGATTAAGGTTCTCATTTTTTACCAACAGTGTGTTCTTAAGATTCTACTTGGATCATTAACCTGGCCCAAGTAGAGGAAGGTTATTCAAAACAATTGAGATAAATTGGTTATAATTTATCTTTAATTGCCTGATAGCCTTCCAGTTGCTTCCAGGTCCATTACTTCGCCAACTACGTGGAACACTTCGTCAATGAGTAGTGATGCTTATGGGAATGGGAGTCTGACATTGTATACTGACTCTCTTAGGCGCTTGAGCATATGAATTGACACTCTTGTGGAATTGTAATGTGTGTGAATAGTTTCACGATTAGTATCGTATTGGTGTTCTGTATTCATCGACTTGAGGCCTCCGACAGCAGCATCTACATACATTCCCCTCGTGATGCTTGATAACGGTTTCGCAAGTTCGCATTCGTCCTTTTAGATCCAACGTCAAACGTGGAGAGCATATTGAAAGCTTTATTTTAAAATCTTCGGTTATCGTAATCGGGTTCATCATTCGATACAGCGAACTGGTGCGGCACTGGGAGAAATGTAGATAATTAGAATTGTCAAATTATGATGACTATTACATGTCACATCGCCTACTTATCCTCGTTGTTGGACATGAGGAGAGCACAAGACAGCTTTAGTGATTGCGTTCAACGTTTGAGCGAATGTTCAACTTGTACTCTGATTTTCCATGGAATGTGAAGACTAGCAGTGCCAAAACCCAGACTGCATACATGCAACTATGCTATGGTTACAACAAACGCAAAATGCATCCTTTTCGGGTTGCACTGAATAAGTCACATGTTTGGCTATGTCCACAGGTGGGTTGAGATAGAAAATGCTATGGCTTTCCATGATCTCTGTTCGTCAATGCTGTCTGATGTTGAGCATGAAGAGGGCGCAATATCTATCGCATTATATAGTATTCTGGCCCATGGTTGATTAACCCTTTATATATATATATATATATATATATATATATATATATATA